GCAAAAGAGATTGAGGACACAGGGTCCTCAATCTCTTCTTCAGCAGCCCCAGTACTATGTACACAATCATGAATGAATAGGAAGTGATGTAGATCACTTCCTATTAATTCACACCTGGTACATAGTAACACATACTATGTCCAGTTATTATTTGTACACTGCTCTCCATCCTGACTCGCTGTCACAGGAGGCTGAGCAGGTGGTGCGGGGAGGAGAGCTCGGTCTCATTTGACAGCCGACTCCTCCCCCTCACCACTGACTCACCATCCTGTGACAGCTGTCTTCGCCCCACACCGCTCTCCTGATCTGTGTGGGACACGCTCACATCGCTCTCCTCCACGCTCCTGACAATTTCTCTCTTCCCTGCTGGATGCTGCGCTGTATCAGAGGGGAGGAGAGAAACTATGCATGCACTGCAATTTTGGCCGAAAAATATAGTACTTTCTGCATTTTGCCCAAAATGCAATTTCTGGCCCTTGTGTTTGGGCGACCAAAATTTCGGTGAATCCCTATATATATATATAGATCTATATATTTTACACACACACTTGTAAATTGCTGTCTTCACTGTTATTTACATTATTTTAGACGCTCCCATACATCTTGATGAAGCCGACTGAGTTCTGAGAAACGAATGGAACACTACCGCCATTCCACTATTAATTAACAGAATGTTCTGAACTGAAGAGAACACTTTGTTCAGCACTACAGAATGTTTATACTATTTAGTGAACGGTAAAGGGTAGGTGTACGGGAATGCATATACTTGTCTGTACCATTTGCACTATTAACTACTTCAGGACAGCCCACTGTAAAAAAACATCATGTCCTGAAGTAGTTAGACCAAGAACACGGCTGCTGCAGCCTTGTTCTTGCTTGAACTATGAGATGAGTGGAAATCACTCATGTCATAGTTCTCCTTTAAACAGTGGGTGATTGCTGTTCAGATACAGGTGATCTGGCAGGTCGCTTGGACAGTGCGGCAGAATGTGCTCCCCTCCTCTGCTGCCAGCTATCCCGGACTCTGCTATCCCTTGTGCAGGCAGGGGACCAGCACAGCAGGTTTCCCCTGACAGATCAGACGGAGAGCAGCAGGCTTCTAGCCGCTGATCTCTCCTCCGATCACTGGACCCGGAAGTGATGTGTATTACATCACTTCAGTTGTCACTGTTTACATTCTCCGGCTTCATCAGCTTCTTAGGGGTCCCTAGGTGACAATGTTTAACATCCCCCACTCCCACGTGCATGCACATTAAAAACCGCAAACACGCATTGGGTGCGCCAATGTGCAAAAACTAAAATTGCGCAACACGTTATATATCGTCGTGAACGCCGGGGGTGAGAGCAATAATTCGAGGCCCATCAATCACTGATAACACTAAACTGAAGAGCAGTAGAAGCTTTTAAAGCGTCGCCTATGGGGAATTTTGGATATAGTCTTTTTTTGCGGTTTCACGGGCGACCGCAATGTTAAGGCTTGACATGTTTGGTATCTATTTCCCCAACGTGAGCCCATATTTTACCCAAAAATTGGGTATTATATTCTGTTTCTGTGCACTAAATTTCATTTTAGTGTATTTTATCCTAAAAATACTGGTTTGATAAACATTTGTGCAAATACCGTGCAACATAAAAAATAGCAACTAGCATTTTTTTATTCTACAGAGCCTCTGCTTTCAGAAAATATAACTGTTTGGGGGTCTGAAGCTGTTTTCTAGCCAAAAATTAATCATGTGTGTGCAAATATTCAGAAATTGCTCCGGACAGCAAGTGGTTAAGCAATACATATTATTCCAGGAGATATTAAGATCCAAATCCCTGCAAGATTTCACCCAATATAAATCTGCCCTCCAAAATTATAGTACCTTCCTCCACACAGCCAAACATACTTCATCACACTCATGAACTCCCTCTCATCTAGTCCTCGTCAACTCTTTTCGACTTTCAACTCCCTACTTCGTCCCCCACCGCCTCCTCCAACCAACTCACTGACAGCCCAGAAAATTGCCACTCACCTCAGAGACAAGATTGATGCAATTCGCAATGAAATCTCCACTGCCCAGACCTCCCCCATTCCAAACATACCTTGCCTGCCACCATACTCACTACTCTCTTCTTTTGATCCAGTTACCAACACTCCACAGAAACTGCCCTTCTAAAACTTACTAACGCTCTACTAACTGCTAAAACCAATGGCCACTACTCTATACTCAAACTTTTAGACCTTTCTGCTGCCTTTGACACAGTTGACCACCCGCTTCTCCTTAATAAACTTAATTCCCTTGGCCTCCAAGACTTGGCTTTCTCATGGTTCATCTCCTACCTCTCTCAGCGCACCTTCAGTGTCACCTACAATTCTGCCTCCTCCTCTCCTCTTCCTGTGGGGGTCCCCCAAGGGTCTGTCCCTGGGCCCCTTCTATTCTCTATCCACACTTCTTCCCTGGGTCAATTGATAGCCTCCCATGGCTTCCAATACCATCTTTATGCCGATGACACCCAAATCTATCTCTCCACTCAACTCACCCCCTTTGTCTCTACACGTATCTCACATCTACTCAGTGACATCTCAGCATGGATGTCACACCGCTACCTCAAACTCAACAGACTCAATATGTCAAAAACTGAGCTTATAATTTTTCCTCCTCTCCGTGTTCCCTCCCCCAACTTCCCCATCACTATCAACAACACTATGATCAACCCCTCCCATCATGCCAGGGTGCTCTGTGTTATCCTTGACTGAGCTCTGCTTTCAGCCCCACATCCAATCACTATCCAAATCTTGCTGACTCAACCTCCGTAACATTTCCAAAATACGCTCTTTTTTAACAAACGAAACCACAAAGCTTCTTATTCACTCCCTTGTAATCTCTCGTCTCGACTACTGTAACTACCTCCTTGTTGGCCTACCACTAAGCAGGCTATCCCTACTTCAGTCTATCATGAATGCTGCTGCTATACTCATCCACCTTACCAACCATTCAGTGTCTACCACCCCTCTCTGCCAATCCCTCCACTGGCTCCCACTTGCCCAACTAATACAATTCAAAATACTAACAACAGCATACAAAGCCATCTGCAACTCCGCCCCAACCTACATCACTGATCTCATCCCAAAATATTGCCCAAACAGTCCTCTCCGCTCCTCTCAAGACCTCCTGCTTTTTCATGACCTCCTCCCATGCTCGCCTCCGGGACTTCTCCAGAGTGTCCCCCATCCTCTGGAACTCCTTACCCCAATGTGTCCGCCTATCTCCTACGCTGCCCACCTTTAGGCGATCCTTAAAAACCCATCTCTTCAGGGAAGCCTACCTCATCTCAACATAACTGCCTTTTACTTCCTCCAATAACTCAATCCAAACAATTATTACCTTTTGTATCACTTGCCCATCCTACTAGATTGTAAGCTCTCACGAGCAGGGCTCTCCCAACCCTATTCTTCTGAAACTGTACTGTCTCCACTATTTTGTAAAGCGCTGAGCAAAATTGTTGGCGCTATATAAATCCTGTATAATAATAATAATGTTATTTGTGATTTTATTGCAAAGACAATAAAAAAGCTTGTTTTAGATATTTGATGTGTCTAAGCTGATGAATTAAGCTAGTGCTTAGAAGTCCCGTGGCATATTTTGTTTTTTCCAGGTACTAGGGCCATTGTACAGCAGACTGTCAGGGACCAGGAAAATCATACAGGTGACTGTCAGAGATGGCAGTGGTGGTCAGGGGTTGTGGACATCCCCGCCCCCTCCAATCACAGAATGCCTTGTATTCTTGGAAAAAAAATACAAAACATTTTGTAAATGGGCAATAGGGAGGAAGGGCAGGTTATTTAAGTATGCATGTTGAATCTCTCCCACCCCCCACCCCCCCAGAAGCTTGGCATTATAGGCACTAGACGGTGTGCTGCAAGGTAAGATTTTTATACTTTGCAGCAGCCTTCTGCACACAACAGACAGCGTCTAAATGCCACCTGTATGGTGTGTGACATTTTCTCCTGGAGTGTGGCTTTAAATAGAACCTTTTCATAGATATCTGTATTTCAGACTGAAAAGAGGGGCAACGGAGGGATTTGGTTCCAAAGAAGAGAGAGTCCCTCAAAATGAAGGACCATTGGTTAGTATTTTTATTTATTACAGGTAATTTACGCAGCACTTTACATAGTACACATTCACATCAGTCCCTACCCTCAATCTAAGGTCCAGATCTCACATGCACCAATGAGGGCCAACTTAGAGAGGAGCCAAGTAACCTACCAGCATGTCTTTGTAGTGTGGGAGGAAACCGGAGTACCCGGAGGAAACCCAAGCAAGTACAGGGAAAACATGCAAACTCCTTGCAGATAGTGACCTGGCCGGGATTCAAACCAGGGACCCCCAGTGCTGAAGGCAGAAGTGCTAACCACTACGCCACTGTGCTGCCCTAGTATGTTGGATACTAAAAACATGGCTACAAAAACATGGCGGCTACAGAGATATTTAGCTACTTTGACTGGATAGAAGTCAGAAAACCAAACATAAGACTCTCCCTTTTCATACTGGGCAGAACAATAGAGTAGCAACCCTAATCTTAATCTGATTCCCAGTGCTGGTCTTCTTCTAGGTTGAATGACACTCAGTGTCATTCAAACCACTTCCTGTGAGCCCAATTTCTTCAACATTACAGAACAAGTTCCGTTGAATGTGACAAACTACTACCAGCTATACCATGACCTGGATAAATGTGAACCTTCAGAAACATAATCAAGGAAAACATAATTTAATTCCATCCCTCCGATAGCAATGCAGTGTTGCATGTAATGGAAGGTCAGTCATGCTGCCAGGTTGTCAAGTGGTGGATGTATACAGCTCTGCTCCGGGAACATATACAACCCATATTGCTGAGGCACAACTGATTTTACCCATTTACAAAGCCTTTACAACTTTCTGCTATGTATTTTTTTTATTTATCAGATACACGAATAAGGACTGCTACATAAGCAACAAAACCAAAAATATTACCTACAAGATTGTTCAGTGTACAGATTAAAAAAAAAAAAAGTATATACAGATATCACGACTCCTCCTCCTCTTCCTCCTCTTCATCACTAATTACATATTTCTTCTGCTTTTTATTTGGCTTCTCTTCATCTTCTGCTTTTCTTTTGACTGATGGTTCACCTTCCTGAAAAACAGAAAGAAAAGAAAAAGGGATAATCACTGCCAGAGCAAAGTATGCAATGGGGTTGATGGTTGTTCTTGCTCTATTCTCCATATATAAATGCCCAAAGAACAGCCTAATATTATGCAGGTTCTATAGTCCTTGAAAACAGATGCGGGAGACCTGGGCTTGTATTAGATTTGTATAATAAAAGAACACTTACCAAGTGGTATGTATTCTTATCAGTTGGCTAGATTTTTAAGAAATCCTGTCCTCCAGTGGTCAGAAGCAGCACTGCCTTGGTCTAAACCACAGCAGATTAGACCTACCAGCATGATTCTGGAAGGATATCGTTTTCTCCTGTTCTTTTGATTGGTTGCAGGAAGGTGCACAATGTTTGGCCATGATTTTATAGAAATCTTAACTGCAATGTTGTCTGCACTAAATCACATAGGTGAAACAATGCAAAAATCTACGAAACATTAAAGAATTAGTGCACGTTCAGAGAAAGTGTACTTATTCTTTTTGTCCCATTTCCTAACCCAGGGGTAGACAACTTCTGTGCTCCAGCTGTTGTAGAACTACAGCACCCATGAGGCATTGCAAGTCTCTGACAGCTATAGGCATGACTTCCAAAGGCAGAGGAATGATTGAATTTGTAGTTTCATCACAGCTGGTGTGCCAAGATTGCCTTCCCCTGCCTAACTTACAGAGGTCCAGCACCCAGGGTCTCCTGTTTACATCCCACTCCCAAGTACTCTCTCTTTTGGCCGCACATTCGCAGTAGAGCCCCATGGAAGTCTATGGGGCTCGTCTTCCTGCGTCTCTAGGCCAGGAGACAGAGGTAGATGAGCCCAATAGAAGTCTACGGGGCTCTGCTGTGCAGGTACAGCCAGCAGAGAGAGGACTTTGGCGCTGGATGTAAACAAACAAGGGAGTCCCTGGGTGCTGCATCTCGGTAAGTATATCTATGGAGGTGTGGGATTTGTTAAGTCGAGGGGAGGGGTTTAAAAAGAATAGAATAGGTGTCTGAAACTTATTCTTTTAAGGAAACCTGTTATAAGTCAAACATGGAGGGTGCCATTTCTGACCACTCCTGAGAATGCTAATTGTATGCCAGTACAGACCCTTTAGCTTTAACACTGGAAAACACATACAGCCATTTACAAAGTAACAAAGCCACTGGTTGAGCATAAATGCCAGTCAGCTAGTGTTATCAGGAAGTGAAATGTCCAAGGTTACTTTAATACGACTCTGCAATAAAGCAAACCTCTGATTCCAAGTCCCATATATGTATACCAGTTCCCTAGCACACAAGTCAGGAACTGGGAGATTCCATTAGAAGCGCCTTTCTAATAGATTCCCTTCAAAAGGGGAACCCTATAAACCGAATATTAAATCGGCGTAATCTCCCATTACAAGCGCAATCTGTGTCAGTGGTTCCCACCATAAGCTGCTGTGGAATACAAGTTCAGTCAACTGCATCTACTAGTACAATTATACTGCTAAGAGCACCTAGTTGGGTAGAGGGATTAGGTGTAAGATTCATATTCTTGCACTCACCTCCTCATCACTGTCGAGTTTCTTTGCCTTGAGTAACCTCTGAGCTTTATCATCATCTGAGCCTTCATCACTGTCTGATGAATAGATGCGAGCTCGCTCCTCTGCAGGGCAAAAAAATGAAAAGTTCATCACAAACCAATACAATACATTATAAATGATATGCTAACAATACAATACATTGTAAATGATATGTTAAAACAATGACCACATGTGACCATGAGCCCTAGTGCCTGGAAAACTATAGTTACTAATTAAAGTTACTTTCATCATTCTGACTCACAAAAGTATTGCGTTTCAATAAATGGAAATTACTATGAGCATTTATCAAAAGCAGCAGCTGTTTCTACAAGGAGCATACAGCAAAGCTGTGCAGTCATATCACAACCTGGTGGCCATGAAAAAATGATGCCTCTATTTAATAAGACAATGTGAACCACATTACTGCACTACTTCATTAGAACACAGAAGTTCTTACTCTCTGACAGAAGTTGCTCTTCCGGTGCTTATATCCCTGGCACAGAGTTCTCCTCTATTGATGCAGTAACTTCCCATAGCCTTAAATAGGTTGATACTCCTAGTATCCCTAATCTAAGAGTACAAGTGCATTCAAGTCTGTAAGGGGGAATGCCTACATGCTCACCCGTGCCTAAGAATGTTTCTGGACCTAAAAAGTTAACACTGAAGGAGGTCACTGCTATCAACAAGGAGGTATACAAGTACCTTGTTGGGGGAGGGACTAAGACGATGTTAAGTTAGGTAAAATAATTTCTTTGTGTTTATTTGATTCCTATTCAAGAGAATTACTTTATATATAGTCAATATAGGCACAGAGGTAAATTTTTTTAACATTTTCTAATGGTGGTGTGCCTCGTGATTTTTTTCATGAAAAAAGTGTGCCTTTGCACAAAAAAGGTTGAAAAACACTGAGTTAGGGGACTTGGTAGGGCAGGCTGATGGGTTCATTTTGTTAAATTGTCCTTTAAGTGTAATAACTTCAGCCCACATGATCACAGCACTCGCTGAACAATAAAAGCTGAACATAGACATTACCACGTCTTTTAGATCCTGTTTGGATACGCATTGAATGGATTGTTTAGGCAGGTACTTACATCAAGGGGTGTGCAAATCCTATCGCCCAAAGCCAAGGAAATGAAGCTCTGGACGGCAGACAGGTGGGTTTTTTCTACATTTAGCCCTGCTGCGTTTGTTGCTCGTTTTGTACCAGTGATCTTAGCAGCTGTACAGCCCCCCTTAATTACTTGAAGCAGTCCGCTTGTTCCTCCACCTCACCGCCATGGTGTTTGGGGTCCCCGCTCTTCTGGGGGACCCAGGACCATGCTAAATGACTTTAGGATCGAGAGCAGGGAGCTGTTAGACGGGGGAACGTACATCCTCTGATCTGCTCTGTGTGATCAGTGAGACAGGAGTGCTTCCTTTCTCAGCTGTCACAAGCCGGGCTGCACAGGAGATCAAGCATAATACTGCCCCCGCCTTCTGCATGCCATATTATGTGAGCGCTCTCTAACACGGACAATTTGCATTAAAGGGCAAGTTCACCTTCCCAAAAAATGTCAGGGAAATAAAATTACCAGCTCAAATCTACCACACTCTATACTTGCCTTTTGGCAAACAGCCCTTCCACCCTGCCCGGTACAGCTGTACTATCCGTGCCCCATACTGCCATTTAGCACAGCCCTGCACTTAGGATTTTGTATTTGGTACTCATTGAAAAGCATGGTCACTAGACCGCGCTGACCAATGAGAAGTGCTTCTTAGCATGGCTAAATTAACAATTTTGTAAAAAAAAATGTTTTATCATGACAAGTAGATGTCATGAGGGATAAGTAGCTTGGGTCCCCGCTTTAGTGCTCGGACAAGTAGTTTTGCAAAAAAGTTTCCGCACCCGACATTGTATACTTATAATAAATGTAAAGGAGATTGAACAACCAGATTACAAGATGTATGTCCAGCCCAATGATTGCTTAAAGCAGGACTTCACCTGCACTTACATGGTATGAACCCAGTTGAACATAGGTATACTTAGCAAAGTCTTCATTTTAAAAGGATTGAAGGATTTCCTGTCTAAGGGATATAGGCCTACAATACCAATGAAACATCCCCAGTACAATGTCAACAATATACATGATTGTGCGGCTGCAGATCTACATCATATCCCTTATGTTCATTGAAATAAGTGGCTTTGAAATTATTCCAAAGTGTAATCATTAGCCAAAGGACGCCACACCACTTCCTGATATTCTTTGCATTTACAGAATCCCATTTTTTCCAACTATTCAAAAAAGCATGGCCATTTATTCTAGATACAAAATACAGTGTGTAATATATATATA